GTAGCACAATCAATTTGTTCATTACACCATGGGCGGATCATAGCTAACCAGGTGCGTCATCATAATGTCCGGTGGGATGAGAAGAACGCCGAGACTTTCTCCAGCGCTGTACGAAATCGCGCATTAGCTCAATACGAACACCTGAAACAGACGGAACGGAACTTTGGTGAATCCACAAGTTCGGCCGGGATAAATAAGTACCATCATTTGAACAACGTCGGAAAACCTGCGGACTGCATGGAAGATAAGGTGGGCTCATGAAACAGCATTCAGTTTCGAAATTGACGTTAACTTGTTCGTGAAGTATAGAAAGGGTTCTACAGTGCCCATTGGAACCTTTAGATAGTACCGATCACACATTGAGACCAAACAAATGAGCTAGTGTACTTCCATACATTTTATCTTATGATGGAAAGCGTTTGTAGTTATTCATGTGTTGAACAAGAAAAGGATTAAAAACAATCAAGAATACTTCAGATTGGAACCCTTCTCTGTCGAGATACAGGGGGGAGGTAATGGTTACACATTAAACTAAATATTAACCGAAGAGTTACGCGTTCTTTCTTTGTTTGCGCAGGAGAGGTGACAACTGTATGGTGAACCTAAGCTAAGCAGATGAATGTCTTATAGCCTACTTAAGTAAACGCATCTGATAATGATCAGTGACAATCAGATTGATGATGAAATTTAAGGTGGAATGGCCGGGAGAATGGAGGTCCGTGATTATTTTCGGGCAGACTAAAATCCACGTTGATTGAGTCGTTTGAAAGCCCGAACATGCACTTACAGGGTGCATTATGGATGACAACAATAATAAGATGACCACTGAACCATACAATTAAAAGCATAAAAAGAATGTCAAGGGGAAATATAGAGAAGCGATGAGAAACACACCTGCTTTCTGCAGCACCGTGAGTAATTCACGAGGCACAATAGTGTCTTCTGGGACCGCATCCCGCGAACCAACTAGGATGGTAACTAGTGCAGTTTGAGTATCCAGGCTATAATTCTGATCACTGTGTGGTTTCTGGAGAACTTGGAGCAGATCACAGCATGTGTCTGGACTGTTAAACAATGTGGCGGGCATGTTATCCCCTGGAGCAATTTCTGGACCACCGGAGTTGAACGCGGATGCTGCATCATCGTCTATTGATTTTCGATCACATTCGCGTTTGGTTTGACCATTATCATCGGGGGTTTTGAACTGTAAAAAGCCATACACAGGATTGCTAGGTAGTTGTGTCAGAAACGAAAAACCATCGTGTAAAGCTGAGGGCTAATAACATAAACACGATTCGAAGATTCAGTCTTTCGGCTTTTGAGGAGTGGAGTTGAACGGGCTATCCAACTGATAACTCGTTCGGACTATATCCGGAAACGATGGGTTTCATTCGTTGGAATGGGTGAACATGGTCACCGGTAACCTAATTGCACAGCTCTTTCCATTACCTTGAATATGATTATTAATGATGATACGATACACACCATGTTTTGCCTTTTGCTAGGTAATTGAACTATTCTCTATAGTATGACAGCCATCTACAGAACGAACTCAGACAATGCAATTAAAACTAGATGCACAAATTAAAAACAGAGAACACCATGCAGTCACAAAAATCAAATCGCACACACACTAGGGTTTGCGGTTTGAATCGGAACGATATGTGCACCGATCCCTTTATTCTTTTTGCATTACCATATTTTCGACCGAAACACTAACCTTTGCCGCCTCTGACACAATTTACCTATAAATCTTTAATTATTTTTTTCAATTCGACTTTTATCTCGAAGCATGTTTGTGTGTATAGTCACAATTCTGTTGTTTCTTACCGACTTTCGAATATTGTTTTTTTGAGTTCGCTGATAACT